AAGATTTATCTCTTATAATTGTTCCTTGAGAGACCAAGTTTGGTCAGATTTCTCAAGTAAACTAGGACTAGTTTAAGTCTTAGTGGTGTGATTCACTTGTAAGTTTACTTGTGCATTGTTAGTCACAACAGTTGTTGTGTGATTGTAATCAGTTGATTATAGTGGATTAAGTCCTTGTTGAGAAAGGCGAAATCATCTTGGCGGGTGGATTGGAGTAGTTTGAGTTCAAAAAAACCAGGATAAAAATAACCTTGTCTTTCCATTATTGTTGAGCCTTTAAGAAAAAGAAAAAGAGAAACTTATTCACCCCCCCCCCCCTTCTAAGTGTTTTCTCCACCTTCAGGTTGTGGAGAATTTAAAAGAGAGAAAAGAGTGTTGAAGGTTCATAGAAAATGAAGGTTACAATAGAGATTGAAGGTTGAAGTTGCAGTGAGAAAAGTGTTAAAGATGCAACGATAATGAAGGTTCTGCAGAGAAGAAAGTTCAGAGAGTTTATCTGTAAGTCTTTGATGATTCTTCTCAGGAGAATTGAAGAATGATGATGAAGATGAGAGGAGAAAAAAGAGTTTGATGGTGATTTTTGTGGTGATTCTTTAAGTGATTGTGAAGAATAAATCTAAAAGAGGTAAGCAATTCTGTTATGTATTCTGTTAGAGATTCAATCTGAGTTTTTTTTCCTCCTCTGACTTGTGAATGAATTTTTGTTTATATTTGTTAGGAAGTTGGTTAGAGATCTATGAAGTTAGTTATAAGGTTAGAATTATGTTAGAGTTAGTTTGGATCTTGTTTCTATTTTTTGTATTTCAGCTGAACTGTCATTTTGTTAGTGAAATTACTTAGGATTTTCTGGTTGTTCTCAGTTAGAAAGCTCTGTTAGAGAGTTAGTTGAATGAGATTTTTTGATAAAACTATTTTTCTAATTTCTCATGGTTTTCTATGATTTATTGATTTGTGAAGTGATTTTTCTGTTTGGTTTATGTTTACAAATGGTAACATCGATGTGTTGTGCATCGTTAAACTCGGGTAACTGTGAGTACAAACTATTTGTGACTGTTTATTCTATTTTTTTTTTCAACAGGTGCAGGGAGGTTCTTGTATGAGTTAGCCTTGAACTGATTTTTTTTTTGGATTTTATGCAGGACCATGGCTATTTGGAACTTGAATGCAAACTGGCTTGTGCTTGAATTCATGCAGGTTTATGGTGAATCAATACCATGGTAATAGTCGAAGTGGCATAACTTGGAAGGCATGTCTAATCGAAAATGGAAACATGTTTGAAGAGGCATAGCATGAAGCAACTCGAGGAAATTGAAATTGACTTGGGAAAGATAGGTTTAGGATAGATTTTCTTATGAATTTTAACGTAATGTATTCATGAATTGGATTGAAATTGTCACTTTCTTTGCATGGAAGTTTAAATGGAATTTTCTTGAAATGTCCTATGGAATCTTTATACTGAACCAAAGCGCGAACTATTTTCTTCCAATATTTGAATGCAAATCATATTGCTCCCGTGATTCAAGCCTCATGTTACTTTGCAATCATTATTCTAACTTGTTCAATTTGGACCAAAATAATCACTTGAATGATGAATGAACAATCTTGAATGTCTTATAATCTTGATGCCAACTTAAACATTTTTGAATGAGTGTTTTATGACCTCATAATCAAGAAGGATGTTGAATGATATCGAAAGTGACAACTTGAACCAAAATGACCATTTGAATGGAATTAGAATGAATGAATATGTCTTTCCATTTGTATCTTATCTTTTGCATTCCAATAAACTCTTATGAATAAGGTTTCCAAACTTGCTTGAATCAAATTCTCGAAAGCAAACCAATGCTTAGATTTTTTTAATTCCATTTGATTATCCTCTGGAAACTTTACTTCAAGACTCAATGAACAAATTCCAACCAACTTGCATATTCAATGAATAAGTCTTGAACTTAAGATATGACATAGAATTCGTCGAATCAAGAATATACATGCATGAACTTAGTCAAGAAAATGACTTTCCTATATTGTATTTTCCCAAAATCAAAGCATTTATTCATATGCCTGTAACTCACTTAATTCTCCCTCACATCATACCTTGTATTGTGCTTCAGCTTTTTGTAATTCAAGTCACGAGCATGTCCACTTGAGAACGTAAGGCTAAAATCCTTAAAGATTTCTCTTGAAGAAAATAATTCTTGATGCACAGAAGAAGATATCTTGACACATAATATAAGGCTCTCTAAGAAAGTCTCTTTATGAAGAAGAAGAAAAAAATCTTAATCTCATGATCCTTAAGAAGAGAAACCTTAATTGAAGCATAATTGTTAAAAACCCGGCTTTCCTTGCACATAGGGATATAAACCCTAATAGCCTTGTAGCTTGATGAAGAAAACAATTCTCAATGACCGCAGATCACAACCCTAATTCCACTGTTCATTTCCTGAAGAAGGAATCAACCTTTATTGGATATATTAATCTCAAACCACTACCACTATGAAACCCTAATATTGCACGACCACTGAACTTTGAGCCTCAGATGCTTTATTGAATGAATGTATATGCACATGTCCTAATAAAAGGATGCAAATGAATGCGAAACCTAAGCCAGATAAAAGTATAATTAGTAGGACAAATTTTGGGGTGCAACAACTTAGACTAAAGTTCATGAAAGCTCATTAGAGGATTGATAAGATCAAAGCCTCCTAAAAATGTACCTCAAGGTTATTGGATCCAAGGTTTCAAATTAACATGCTTGGGCTTGCAAAAATAGGTTTGGGCCACGAATGATCATTTCTCGAATCAGGACAAATTTAGCGCTATGTTAAGCAATCATAAGTAGATTTATGTAGAAGTCACACTTATTTTGAGGTCGGTCAATAGCAATCTATGTACCACATGTTAGATAAATAATATGTAGATCATTCTCCAACAAAATGTAGCACAAGTGAGAAAGGGATAAGATGAAGAGGGGGAATGTATCAGATGAAATTAGGGTTTCAAATATCATCAACACCATTCATCCATTTTGGTGGATTTGGTTTTCAACCTATCAACACCCAAGATCTAATGAGGTTGAGGAATTTGTCCAGAAATAACACCCAAGTGAGGGGATGTAATGAATCGATAATACGGTTAAAAGTCTAAATAAACAAACAATACAACCCAATCAAAATTAATTAAATAACCAATTAAATTGAACCATCTCATTTAATAAAATTAATTAACAAAATAATTAATTATATTAAATATTATTTTCCAATCTAATTAATTATTTAAGATAAAATATTTTTTGTATTTTAATTTTTGATAGAAATAAAAAATTTTAAACAAAAAAATACAAAAAGAAAAATATAAAGAAAAAGTGTAATTAGGCCTTAATAAGCAGAAACTAGGGGTGCTGAAAGGAGGAGTAGCCTAGGCCCAAGATGCTGGATTCGCATATCTAGTGTGGTCACTCCAATAGGGTGCACGACGAGTTGTGTGTGTTGGAGCGTCAGATCCAGATCTGATGAGATCTGATGGTTGGGAATTGGTGGGGCATCATAAGGCTGATGGAGAGGCTGCATGCGAGATCTAGTGATCTGATGACCGCAACCCCTGAGAGTCCACCGTGAGATGTGTTTCTGGAGAGTAGGATGGTGATGAGCGTGATCTAATGGTGATCTAACAGTGATGGAGGCAAGGGTGCCCGGTGAACCACTGGGAGGTACCTGCATAAAATTAACCATAAGACCACAAAGGCGATGACAATTGTCATCACCTGATTAACGCTTAATCACAACTTAATCAAATAAAAACAAAAAAATTATAACAAAAAAATTAAAAGAGACAGAAGAGACTAAACTCTCTTCATATATCCTCTCGCCTCTATCATCTAGTCTCTTTCCTTGGAGCTTACCGGAAATTTCCTAAGGCGGCGATGACGGCAGACGATGGCGACAGACGGCGGCAGACGGCGACAGACGGCGGCGACATCATGACTTTTACTCTGATCTCACTTATTTTTACACCAATTGTTTCGTCTTTCTCTCTTCTTCTCTAATTCAACATTTATTTTTGCAGGAAATCAAAAACGAAAGCAAGATCTAGAAAGGGGTTCTTGAAACCCTAAGACAAAGTATGATGAAATTTAAGTGAAATGGTAAAGAGAGAAAGGTTTTGCACCATTTTTACGTGGGTGACAAACTCATATCGAAGTTCGGAAGGGAATGACGGCGGAGGGATAGTTCGGTAGTCGGAGATCCATTTTAGTGAGATCTTTCTGAGCTTTATTCTTTCGTATCCTTCTGATCCTTGCGGTTTGTCTTTCTTCTTCTCTTTTCGAATCTGAAAGGTTTGTTATGAGAAAATGATGAACGACTTAGGCTTATGGTTTGATGCATGCGTAACTTTTCTGTGATTTATGTGAATCGTCCTCCCCTAAAATTTTGTGCCAATGATTTTTTATATATTGATATGATCATTGTTGCTATGTTGTTTGTCTGATCTACTAACAGGCCTTGCAAATTTGCAAAGGGGCTTGAATTAGTTTTGATAACAGGCATGTGCTTATTTCTAGATTGGGTTTATGCAACTGATATGTTAACTTCTGGATATGTTTTTTGTTACTGTAGTGACTGTGATTTTTGTTTTTTCTATTGGGCTTTGCACTTTTCCTAATATGTCACTACCTTTCTTTTTCTGAAACTGAAATGTGGATTTGTTTGTAAAAACTTGTTTTGCTCATTGGGCTGGAATCCAATTCTATGCTTACTGTTTTACTGAATGCTTTGATATTGGGCCTGAGCTCTGTAACCGACTTATGACTTTGAATGTTATTTTTCTTAGTTTATTTTTTTTGTATGATGGACCTGTGATGAGCCTTTTTGTTGAGCTTGTGCGCAATAATTTATCTCTTTTATACCTCCCTTTGTGAACCAAAAACAAATAAGTTTTTTGTGATTTGCAATAGGAATTGTTAGCCCATGATTGAATATTGAAACTCTGGTTTTTGTTGTGAATCAAATATATGAGGCTTTGGATGTTGGGCTTTGATTCATGATTGAATAACCCTTAATTCGGATTCCCTTCACAACCCTAATGATGAAATTGAAAAGAAACTTGCTTGAAAATTTCTTGCTTAACAATTCTTGTTCATGTCTTTTTGATGATTGCTTGCTAACAAATTTGTGTTTACTTTTCCTTGTTTCAAGTGATGAATGGTTTGTTGAGAGCATGGTTGCAAATGGTATGGATTGAAGACTTGAGGAAGGAGGCAACCATAGAAAAGCTTGAAGGAATGGAAGAGTTTCTTGAGCATGGAGTAGAAGCTTGAAGAAAATCAAAGTCTTGTGATATTCATAGAAGTTTAGGTGTAGAAAACTTGGAGTGTTTGTATATTTGATGTTGTAATTGGATTTTAGGCCATATAGAACTTGAATTTTCTTGTAACATGATGAAGTAACTCGAAATCCATGTCAATTTCTTCTTGAATTTGCTTCTTGTTATAAGGAAACAAATGTTGGTATATTCTTGAAATTTTGATTTGACTTGAAATTAGGAATTAGAAAAAGAAGAAATCTTGAATCAAATTTGTAGCTTGTCTTGAAGATGATGTATGGAACTTGAGTCATGAATGGAGTTTCTTGAAGTTTAGGTAAAAGGGACTTGTGTATAATTGATGTAACTTTGAAGTTTTGAAGTAGTGAATGAGGATTCTAAACAATGAATGGAGTATTGAAAGTAATTTTAAACTTGAACAATTTCTCTTGATTTTTAGATGTTGAAACTTCAATTCTTGAATAAAACTTTGAATGAATTTTCTCATGAAGCATGAATACCACTTGAGTAATTTGGAAATGAATTTGACAAAGTTGAATCAATTGATATAGAAACTTGAATTTGAGACAATCTTGAATCCTCTTTTAATTTGTAAATTCCAAACTCGTGAAAGTAAGAAATTCCCTCCACCTTTTGAATTTCAATTTGAAGCTTTGAGTAAACTTTGACCCGTGGACTTGGACTAAAAAAAACTTTGACATTATGGCTTATAATTCCCCGAATTCAACAATCTTGTATCAAATCTTTACTTGATGATAAATAATCTCAACACACAAATAAGGCTTTGAGGAAAAGAATCATGACCTTAGAGCATTGGTAACATAAATTGGAGTTTAGAGTTTAAGAACATTATAGGTAAAAAAGTGACCTAAAACGTTTCAATTAAACTCGTGACCTTTTAAGTACAATTTGATCTTGCTCATTTAAGCTATTTTATAGATAACACCATTAGTGAAACCATGCAAAAAGAGACACCCCAAAACAAGGAAAGTTGAACGAGTTATAATTCTTGAAAGTTGGATGAAAGTCACTTGAAATTAAGCTAAAGTCTTCAAAACGACCTCTAATGTACTCAAACTTTTGATGGCCTTCTACACATAATTAGCTCTCGACTTGAAAATAAAAATTGGAGATGATGTCAAGGAGATTCATATGCTCGAAGAATCACTTGAGAATACTGAACAATGAAGAAGTTATGATCATTTGAACTCAAACTTGCAAATGTTGACTTTTGGCCCGACAACTTCGAATTAACTTGCAAGCTTGATATTTTTCCATAACCCGAGGCTCTCTTAAGCACATATGAACTTGAGATGACGAAATATTGATCAAATCATGCTCACACTTGTTAGAATTTGAGATTACTCGTCGAAGAAGGCATGAAAATAAACACATGAACTTATCTCGAAGAATCATGAGAATTGAGTAACCAAACTCGCCTTAATCATGTTGACTGAAGCTTGAGGGTAGTGTGACCTAAGATTATAGATCACCACTCTAAAAAATAGGCCTTTAAGAACCAACCATTGGCCTGAACAAAACCACAACCCTAATCGGAGAACTATCACCTGAACTCCTTGATCCAAAACCTTGTCTTCTAAAAGAAATAAACAAGACATATTTTTGGATTTTGGTTAGAGATCAGTAAAATATAAAACACTTGTATATAAGATACACAATTAGGGTGCTTGGTAAACTTAATCCCTAATGCGTGATCTTGATGTATTGATAAAAGTGAGATGATGAGAAATCTTATGGGCAAAAGTTGAGGTATAACACTTATGCTTAGCATACAATGTCTTAATTCTAAGTTTTGTTGATGTTAAGACTTTACTACACAACACAGTGTAATTACATTGTGTTGTTTCCTTGTAAACCACCCTACATCTCACTGAATCATTTTTCTCAAATCTCACATCCCTCTTATTCAATACATTATGTTCTAAAATAGAACTCTTGAACTGCTTTAATGATGAAAAATCCATTTTCACCTTGAACTTAAAATCCTTTGTAATTTCAATCTCACATTTGTAGTTTTGAACAAAGGCAGCTAACCCAAATGCATCACCATCATCCCTAAATGGTTTTAGATTAGTTTCTAAACTACCACCAACATATTTCCACCATATTCTAACATCTTTATATTCAAACCCAGGATCTATTCCCTTAATTAAATCACACGCCTCAAAAAAAGACCAACAGTCAGGATCTTGACCATTAAATACGTAAACTTCCTCACCCTCGTACTTTAACATAGGGTCTTTTATAAAAACAACTTTTGTTTAAAATACTACCTTAAAGACACACATGCCTACACAATATAGGGAAAAGAACATTCAATAATGGACTCACATATTTGACTTAGCATGCGGAAAACCCATAATTATTAAATACACTGCAAGTAAAATACAAACCGACCAAACTCTAATAAAATAGAATCTAAAGTAAAATATGTGGATCTTCCTCAGATTCAATGTCGAGGGACCACATGCATGCACCTTTCAAGATAATTCTGGGACCACAAAACAAACTTGATAAACTTGGAAAAAATAATTACAACCAAAACGAAAATACACTATTAGTGTTACAATAGCTAAGTTGAACCAACTGGAAGCATTCGTTTGAAGAAGAAAGGGATATAACACAAACATTCTACACAAACCTAGAACTTGAACAAGAGAGCAATGGACTCGGTTAAATTTTTCAGCAAGAACGAAAATTTTCTTTGTATTCTATCTTTAATCCTAATTGTACTCTAAGTGAATATCTTTGTGTTTTAAGTTGTTCAATTGATACTAACTATGTGGCAGTTCATTATTCAACATTAATTTATGCCGTCTATTTCACTAAATGTATACTTTCATTTAGTGAAATAGACGGCATAAATTAAAAATAAAGACAAAAAAATTTTATGAGAAGCTTTCTTTAAACAAAAATGTTATAGAGACTAAAATTAAAATTAAAATTATTTATAAAAATTAAAAATATATTTAACTCTAAATTATAAACTCAAAAATATTTCATTTTAAATAGAATTAAGTCTTTATTTATCGTCCAACCATATGATTTTATTAGTGATGATATTTTATATAGAATGTCATAACATTCTATATAAATAAGTTCAGTATGAAAACACACTAGATTGTTTATATTTATGAGATTTTGATTAAAAATTAAAAGTATTTAATACAAATTATCCATCGTTTCAATAACTAATTAAGTGCGACTAATATAACTTCATTCTTTGAATAAATGAAGATGAAAGATTCATATGCAAATCCCAAAATATCTAATTTCAAAAAAACTTAAGTAAAAAGTCATTTTATCACACATTCCATGAATCTACTCAACTTGCATAACAAAACGAAATTTCAATTTAAATTTCTCCTCAAAGACAAACTCTAACACTGAACCTATTTCAGCCACTTTGGATTATCCATGAACTCTTTCTGGTAAAACGAGTGATTATAATTTGTAGTTCAAGTAGCACACTTTTCCACACACGTTTGCCCTAAAAAAAAGTGCAGTCTTGTTCTGAACCAACGTGTGGTAGCTTTAAGAAACATCACAATCAAACAACAAGTGTGTTGAAGATTCTACATGAGTTCTTACATAAGGCAAAAAAGACACGTGATAGTGGTACATCATGGTACCACATGACACCTTTGGTCTTTCCAGCTGTTTCCTAATGAAATGTCTATATATAGATTGACATAGGTCATTTGTTCTAGTGAAGTTTGCAGAATTAACATGCTGTGTTTTTGACATTATATGTTTTCTAAAATTGTGGTCCCCAGCCGCAATTGTGGCCGCATTACGAAAGTTTTAGAAAGTTTTTACAATGACGTTCTAAGTGTAATTGTGACTGCGTCACAAGTTGATCCATATAGATGCTAATTGTGACTGCGTCACAAGTTGATCCATATAGATGACACTCACACTTATATGCGTGAATTTTAGGGGGTTAATTACATTTCATCTACAGACCGAAAATATATAATGCGCATAAATTTATGAGTAAAAGAGGATTGAAAATTTGCAATTAGAAAGACTTTTTTTTGCATTGAGGATCTTGTTTATTTTTCGGTGATGTGTTGATAATGCATAGAGACTAGAAGGATATGACACATGAAAATTTATATATACAAATTTCCATTGAAACATGCCTAGAAAATAAGACTCTACAATCTAAAATCTGAATTCAACAGAAATTGAAACCAAATCTAGAAAGACCAAACCATAAAACACTACAATGAGGTTTCATACCAGCCTCTCTAATTCTATTTGAAACTAAAAGCTACTATTTACAAACATAAAACATTATTGACACTTCAAGAACAAGACTTCATCAGACCTAAATTGTAAAGAAACTTCTCGGATCTCGATCGAACGATATCGCGTAAAGAAAATTTTCCACGCTCTTGGGATAGAGAATTCGTGCACATGTCGTCGTCTTTTACACGCAGTATAGTCAATCCAATCTCTTTTCGAACCGCCTCAATTGTTTCACTCTTAACCGGATTTCCAGACACGTCTGTCACATAGAAAACATTTATGGCTTGTGAACCCCTTGTTGTGACCTCGGCGCGGCTGACTGAAAGGCCGTTTTCTCTAAATATGCGAGTTACGTCGGACAAAAGGCCAACTCTGTCTTCACCGCAGAGTTCAAGTTTTATTCCCTATATCAAATACAAGCTAACAATGTCAAGAAAAAAATTCGCTCCAAAGTTACCGTCGTTTAAGATTTTTACACAAATATTAAATGAGTATTAATTTGGAACGGAGAGAGTACCTCAGAAGTTCGTCTCCGAACAGCAGCCTCCAAGCAGTGAATCACTCTTTGCCTTTCTGCTTCAGAACTGATAGGATATCCATCCACGTGCCTTATGTAGTATTCCTGCAAAAACAAGTCAGGTCAAACCGAGCCGTATCAAGTCTAACTCGAACGAAACATACAAGTATCGAAAGAAAAACCTGATATGCTTCTAGTCCTTCTGCAGTGACAGTTCCATGGTACACAACATACTGCATGTCAGTGAGTGTGCAAATAGTATCGAATAGTAACTTTGGTCGATCCGGACACCTCAAATTCACGACCGTATATCCTTTGTCAATGCAATCATCAACAGTTACATTGAGCTTGTTTCTGTTACTTGTTGAGCAAGAATAATCACCATCATATACATCATAATCACGATCAGCATACATCAGCTGATGCAGCCTCCTTTCCTTATGAGTCGAACAAAACGAAACAGCAGTGTTTGCGTTCTTCTTGTCGATGTCTCCTCTCAGGACATATAGCAGGAGATGCTTAATTTTGGCGAGGCGGTCGTGATTGTCTATTGGCAATCCCGTTGTGTCGTCGGTGAAGTAAACTACTGACGCCATTCTTGAATTGTGAGTCCAGACTTCAGCCGCTACCACGTTGCATTTAAGGTCAGTGAGAATAGCAAAAACTTCTGAGAGCAATCCCGGCCTATCTCGTCCTGTTAACTCGATCGTCGTATGTTCTGCCGCAGCTTGAACTCCGACCGACCTTCTCACCGATCGGAAACTGCGGATTCTTGGACCGAGTGACTGGAACAAGCAAAGCAAAAAGTATTATTAGTACAAATGTAATCATTCAGATGCTGCAATTGTGGTTGCAATGCCTTTGCGGAGACATCTAAGGCTGCTTGATTGCGTCCGCAATTGCAATTGCCGACCGAGAATTGCGGAAACTATGATATCATGACTCATAATTGGATACTCTTTGAATAAAATCATAATTCCACTCCCAAATTATAATCATAACAAATTTGAAACCAAAAACTAATATCAGATTAGTATTACATACAGATCTATTACCTGTTGAATTCTGTCAGCAACATCTTCTTGAAGACACTTTTTCCCATTTTGATCAGTAACATGAAAAACTGAAAATTATCAACACAAAAAACACATTTTTAACGGAAAAATCAATGGTGATTAATCAATTATTGATGAGAAATTAAGAATTATGGTAAAGATTATACTATACCATCCATAAACCATTCTCCATCAGATGAAATATAAGCTCTTCTAACAATGAGATTCATATCAGTAAGAACCTGAACAACTTCCAACAAACTACCACGCTTATTAGCACTATCAACCTACCACACAATTCACATCAAAAAAATCGTTAAACAAAAATGACCCTTTTGAAATTCATCAAAGTTTAAGACCTTAGAACGTCTAAATTTCAAACCTTTATCAAAGTGGTTGTTCTGCTTGAAGAATTATCCACAGTTACTCTGCAAAAAAACACAAACATGAAATTCAATTAAGTTTCAAACAACAATAGTAAAAACAAAATAAAAAACATGAAGATGAAGATGTTATTGTATTAACTTGGGAGGATTCATTCGAATTACAAGCTTTTGGAATTCATCATCAAGAGGGAGAGAAGAAGTCCAAAAATCCATAGTTATGTGTGAAACAGAACAAGAACAGAGGGTAGAGTCAGAGTGTGTGTGTGTTTTTGGGGGGGTGTGAGTTTTTATTAATTTTGATTTTCTGTCTCTCTTGTTGTTTGTTACACTTTCCTTGTACTACTGCCTTTGAAATTGGGATTTGTGTTTTTTTGGGGCTTTGGAATTTGGTTGGGAGATGGATTTGGTGAGATATGGTGGCTACTAAGGAGGACCAAGAGTTCCTCACAAAACACTAAATAAGACTACCCAATTTGTAATTATAAAAATACTTTATAAACAAAAAGAGTTTAGTAGTAATCATTTCACAATTATCTTCTCATTTAGATATATATCAAATTTTAAAATCAGTTTTTTAATATAAAAAAACTATGATCATATAAATTTAATGAATTACGATAAAATATACTATATTATATTGATAATGACTCATGAGTTAAAATATTTTGTTATTTAAAAGTTTGATATTAATATATAATATTCAAATTTTTCTACTTGATGTCAATGAATAGTAATTAAAATATATTTAGAGATAGAAAGTAAAATAATGCATATTTCTTAAATTGGATTAATAACATTATTATTTGTTTGTAATAAAAGTATGAGTTTTGTTTCTCAAATAAAGATAATTGTTGTTTAAAATAAAATAGGTAAGATGATATAGTGGCATGTGAGATGAAAAGCAAATTTTGTGATAAATTAAATGGTTAATTTTATTAAAATTACAAAATATACTAATTACAAATAAATATGAATGTTGTTGGTCATTACGTTCTCTAAGAGTTCAAAGATCAACAATACTGATGGACATCTTCCATATCTTGATCCCTTGTTTGAAATCACCAATAAAAGTAAGAGGTCTTAACATTCTACACATGTTTAAGTACATTAAAATGAGAAACAGGTAAAACAAAGTCAATGAGCAATAAAGGTATTAAAATAAAATCAGAATTTGAAACTCATGTTGTAATAGTATCGCAGATCATGAAATGAATAAGTGGTTATATTAGAAAAATCGACAAAATTCGTAGCACATGAAAAATTGTAGAAAAATCAATGATCATGAAATAAATATTTGAAACGGCTCAGTTAAAACAGATCTGAAATATAATTAGAAAAATCACAAAACATAAACAGATTGAATATAAACAATTATAACATAAAAAATAAAAAAAAAAGTTTGGATGAAGTCAACACAAACCTTTATATGGAATAAGATGGAAAATTAAATATAATGAAACAGTTTTGTGTTGAAAAAGGAGAAAAACTATGAACATTGATTTTACTGTCTTTAATGCGCATAAATTTTTTATCATATTATATATATATATATATATATATATATATATATATATATATATATATATATATATATATATATATATATATATATATATATATATATATATATATATATATATATATATATATATATATATATATATATATATATATATATATATATATAAAAGTATTAAAATTCATTTAAAATATATTATTTTTAATATTTATTAATAAATAATAAAATATTTCAAATGAATAAAATTTTATTTTATTTAAATAAGAAATAGTAAAATTTTCTCAATTATATAATATATTTTTATGTAAATGAATTATATTTATTTATATTTAATTATATTTATATTGTACTGTTATATAATATAACAAACTTTATTTTATATAATAGTTTCTTTGAATTCTAAGTAAATTTTATTATTTTTTATTTAAATAAAATAAAATAAAATTATTTTAATATATATTATCAATTTAATCAGTACTCATATTTCATAATATTTTGAATTGTAGTAAGAATTTTAAAATTTTATCAAATCAAAAAATCTTTCAAAATCAAGATTTAAAATAAATGACCACATAAATGAATGTTTACTAAATTAAGAATATTTTGAAATTCAATACAACATGGATTTAAAATATATGTTTAGTTAATTACTATTTTATCCTTTTGTAGTTTGTGTTTTTAAATTTGTAAAAGAACATTATAGGGTGTTTATATGTATTCATCTGTAATAGATTGATAGTTAATAGTTGTCGATTAACTTTTAAAAATTACAGTATATTTATTCAAAATTATATGAATAAGGAAATTTATTCAAATTAAAACTAATTAATTGATACTAATTTATTGGCTATAGACCATCCATATGGCAGCCTATAAATTTATGCAAAATTATATGTATAAGGTAATTTATTCAAAATCAACTATAAATACATTTTTCTGTAAATGAAATTATAATATTTATATATATTTACAACAACTATATCCATATTGTATGTTAATTTATATAATATATTTTTATATAGTATACTTTATATATATTTATATCCATTTGAATTTATATAATATACTTTATATACTTTAATCAATACTAAAATATATATTTGTAAAAATTCTGACGTCTAGAAAAATATATATTATACATTTAATAATTATTTATAATAGTTTTTATTTAAATAAATTAAATTATATTTATTTTATAATAAATATATCCGGTAAAATTATATTATATTACATCAAATTAATTATTAATGAGAGACAAACTATATTTGTATTTATCATATACTATATAATATTTCTATATTAAATAAAAATATAGAATTATATTATAAATAATTATACTAAATTAATCAATTTTTTTAAAAATTAAATTAAATTAATTTTATAATATAACAAATATTTTTGGTGAAATTATATTATATTACATCAAATCAACTATCAATGAGAAATGGGGAGGTCGGGGCATCTGAAAAAGACGGTGCCACCGCCGCCTGCATCTAGGTCGAAATCACGGCATTTACCTCTCGTTCCACAAGCTCCATCTGGATCTGGGTCATCACTCACGATTGGGAATGCCACGTCTATTGCTAGAGAAAACAAGCAAGTTAGTTCGTCGTTGCAGAATGAGGAAAGTTGTGTTGGTACTACAAAGGAGGATGAAACCCTAACTGCTGCGAGCAGAAAGTTATGGGTAGATGTTCTTAACGATAATAGGAATCCTGCTAAGGGGAGATCCATGAAATATATCGCTCCCAAAATTGTTAATGGAGAAGTTGAGGTCCTTATTGAAGCAGAGGATATTCTTGCAGAAGTCAAGTTTTGGGAACCTTCTCTTGTGTTGTATGCTTTGGGGGGGGGGGGGGGGAGCTAAGCATGGATGGGGTTAAAAACTTTATGACAAGGACATGGAATTTCGTTCAGCTTCCTGGTATGTACTATAATGATGAAGGATGTTTTATTCTAAGATTCAATACTTTCAGAGATAGGAATGTGGTTCTCATGAGGGGCCTGTATATGATTCGTAACATACCACTTCTTATCCGTGAAGGGCGTCATGATTTCAACTTAAAGGATTATCTTCTTCGCACTCTTCCCTTATGGGTTAAGCTTCCCTAGCTTCCTATCTATCTCTGGGGTGATGTCAGTCTTAACGAAATCGACAGTGCCTAGGGAAATCCTATTGTTACTAATGAATGTACTGCTAACCGGCTTCGTGTTTCTTATGCGAGAATTCTTGTGGAGATGGTGTTATACCCCAAAATTTGCCCTCTCATTTCATCAACATTTTCTCATCACAAGACTCATATATTCAAGATCAAGTTAGGATTTGCTCTGCTCAAGACTCCTCCTTGCACTGTTGACTCAAATTAGGGTTTGAGTTTGTACAAAGATGTTTTGACCTAAAATGCCCAAAATAACTTTCATGTTTCATGTTGGACTCACAAGTTTATCCATACCAAGTTTCAAGCCTTGATTCCAATTTTTGCCCAGTCAATTGGACAGTTGACCTAAAATCAACTATATTGGGGAAAAAGTCAACTGTGGTCAATTGACAGTCAAACCTCATGAAATTTGACCCACATCAACATAATGAACTCATATGAACCATTTGGTCAAGTTTGGATCACAATTCCATAAGAAATTTGATCAGATCACCAAAAGGGCAAAATGGTCATTTTTAGGGTTTTGACTGCACAAAGGTAATTTTTGACTATTTGACCTAGCCAATGGCAAACCAAGCTCACATATGGACTCAAAGACTCAATGGCATTGTCTTGACACATTCAACAAGTTCAAAAGATCTCAAATGCATATGTTTGACAGATGAATTTTTCAATCAATTGATCAAAATTTGATTGTATACTGAAAAGTCAAACTTTGACTTTTTGGTCAAAATCAAGTGCCAAGATTTATTTTTCATCAAGACATGTCAAATTATGAAACTTGTTCATCAAGAAACCCAAATTTACAAATTAGGGTTTAAAATGAGAAAATTTCATAACTTGGAATTTTTCTAAGTTATGAAACTTCCTTATTTTTTCCTAACTTTGTCCCATTTTTTCACCAAGATACAAATGGATTCAAACAAAACTTGAAACATGAAAGTTTTAGTCTATTTCAAAATCTACAATTTTGATTCACAAAGTTTTCTCAAAGGAAGCTTGTATCTCAAGTTATGATTTTTGGAACAAGGGTGCAAAACATTTTTAACTTAGAGAAATTTTGACCTATTCTAGGCAGGATTTTCGTCCAACTTCTTGGCCATTTTTCACATGCTTCCACTTGGAGTTTCAATTTGCATTACAAAGATGGATTGTAGTACACATTCCAAGCTTTCCAAATTGTCCAAGAACTTCTCAAACACCCTTGTGGTTAGGGAGAATCGAATTTGCAAAATTGGGCAAAATTCACTTTTGTTCATAACCAAATACATGTTCATACAAGTTTCATTTTCAAATCAGCATGCTTAGTACTTGCTTGCAGGCCTCTAAACCAAGTTTTCACTCCATAATTAAATGCCTAACCATTGTGTTCAAGCATTGTTTTGTGAATTTAGTCATTACACAAAGAATTATCCCTTAAGTAGAAAAAGCAAACTTGCCATTTTTGAAAAGTAGTGCTTTATGTCAAATACCAAATCCAAGAAGTACAAGCCAGATCTTTGAGGCAAGAGTTTGTAAGCAAATCCCACTGATCA